AGTCGAAACGGATGAAGATGTCGAAGTCAGTCAGCCAGAATCGGAAAGGCAAGATACGCCTTCATCAACCTGAAACCAGTTTGGAAATCTTCTCCACTAAACATAAGGAATAAGATTAGGATTTCCAACACCAATGTCAAGTTGGTCCTTCTATACGGGTCAGAAACTTGCACTGCATGTGTGTCACGGAAAGGATTTCCAACAGGTGACAGACTTTTATCAACAGCTGCCCGCTTCGCTGACTCCATACTGATGATCAAGTGTCCAGAAAGAATAAGCAACAAGGAACTCTGGCTGAGAACAAACCAACCAAAAGCCGATCGCTCGACAAATATGTAGGAGAAAATAGAGATGAAATGGGCATACATTGAGGACCTAAGTTTCGTGCTAGTTGGCATTCACCAATCATCAAGGCGTATCTGCAACCACATTGAAGGAACTTATGTCCCACACCTTTGAGATTCGAACCCACGTCACCCAGTACTGCATGCAGTCAGAGACATTACCACTAAGCTAAGTGGAGTAACGATTGATCTCCTGTAGAACTGACTGTATTGGATATTTATTTGCTTGGACACTAGTTAGTACCTAATGTGTAATGTGTCTAGTCCTTGATGTTTGGTGCCGACTGAATTCTAGCACTCAAGTTTTCAGATACACCTTGCTGACGAGTGCCAACTAGCACGAAACCTAGGTACTAGTTACACTAGTTACTAACTAGTGTCCAATCAAAAATAAACGTCTTACTTATATAGCTGGCAAAGGTCATACGTATTAGACAGGAATTTTTGGGACTCAGTTGCATATTTTATTGGTTATTTTGTGGTGAGAGCTGGCTGCTAGCCAAAGTTGGTAGACAGTAATTGACGTCAATGTTTACGTCCCCAATATTGGTGGTGAGAAAATGAGAACAAAGGCTTTGCCTAGGCGGATACAGTTAGCACATAGATGATCTGACACAGCCACAAAGAGATGCAAGGTTAACTTTGTGAGAAACAACCAATCAAAAGACTGTATTTTCTACTAACAATAATCTACAATAGTGTACATTAAAATCTACAAATATGTGTTGATTTTCCTTAATAAACGACCTGTTGCCTGGCCCTTGTCTTCTGTTGTTACAATTTTAATGTTGGCAATATCTGCAGCCAAATTACGGCCAACTATTACACTAATTGTTAGAATCTTCACATATTTATACATGGTAAACATGTATCTATATATACGACCCGATACAACCCCAGGTGGGTAGACTCCTATTTTCTTCTTGAAATGGTCTCATGTTGCCACTGCCTTCACGCAGCAGCATGGGTGTTCCTCACAAAAGTGAAAGGGCAAATGCTAATGTCGGGTGCTTAAAACAGGACTGATGGGCATGCAGGAGTCTACGGGACCTGGAATACCCTTATTACAAACCTATGGTCTACATGGGCTCCAGAATCCGAAAACACCGAATGGCTTATGAATCTGTTTTGGTTGCCGTTAACCATGGGAAAGCAGATCCTAACGCTTCACCACTACTGCCTTTTGGATCAGACTTCAAGTAAAAGGCCCCTTTAGAGAACCACCTACTTCAGTCTTTGCGTGCGGGCAGTATCCCAACCCTCGCACAGACATGAGATTTTGTTTGGCTCATCTTTTGGAATACTCACTTTGTGTTTTTACAATAATATTATTATTATTTCCGAATTTATTTTTTATCCAGAAAGGTCATTCACGATAGTGTATCATTCTTTGACAAATGCCCACGAATCACTGCTGTAGCCTACCGATTAAATTTGCATTATATATATATATATATCCTCGTAGCTAGCCATCTTTTCAGTAAACAAGAACTATACTCCACGTAGAGCGTTGTGTCATCGACCTAGGTGACTGACTTCTAATCAGAATGTCACGAGTTTGAATCCCACTCCATCTACAGAGGTTCGTACAGCCGGGTAGCATCATTAACCTGCACACAATAGGTGTATTTCATCTCCAGCTAGATAGAAGGGGCTAGTCGTTGTTGAGTCACTATGACGATTAGCCTCCATACTGTTAACAGCAGTGCTGAGTCATCCATCTTTGGTACATGTGTGAAATCTGCTATCATCAATCTTTGTTTCCATTCGTCCGTACTGAATATTCTTACAGTCTATATTATTATGTTACTTCTCATTTCACACATGAGCAGTTATTGACGAACTTATTATTTTTTTAAAATGGTATACGCCTGTGTTTCTGTGACTTGTTGACCTTTATTTAAACGTTTACACTAATTCAGAATATTTTTTTTTCAAGTGATCTTTATATTTGACCTACATAGTTTAGTTAACTGGATAGTCAACATAAGAATTTTACTACACTACATTATTTCTTTATTTTTTTTACACTTTCTGCTTGACCTTTTAATCGAATATTTTGTACTAGGCTTTAAGTGATAAAACATTTGTGTGTGAGAGTCGATGATACTACTCTCAGTTGCTTAGACTGAAGAAGTAGGTGAAAACTGGAGGAACTCAAACATGGCATCCGTTGGCCTAAAGTTGTTTGCTTAAACCAACTAAACGTATTATATTCACTTCAATTGACTGAATTTGCGTTTTATTAGGCATCTTAGATGAAACGTAGTTGGAATCCTCACCCTTTTGAGGGTGATGTGTCTTTCATAATCATCTTTTTCGATTAATAGTCCATATTGAGATATCAAGAAACAGATTTCAGCGAAGAAAATTATCTTTTTAAAATGATTTCATTGTTGATGTTTGTTTTTCTCCTCAGTGTACATTTTTATGTTGAAGTACTTTCGATTCTATCGACCGAGAAGTACTATGGCGATGCTTGGCTATAAAGGGAATTCTGAGAAAATACATTGCACTGATCAAAGCACTCACACTACTCGAACACATGCACTCAGCCAGGTGATAGCCCACGGAGAGTTGTCACCTGAAGTGGTGACAACTAGTGTTGTCCGTCAGGGATGCCCACAATCCCCGTTTCTATTCAATTTCATCAGAGATGTACTAATGGACTTAACTCTAACAGGGATTGACTTGTTACCATCAGGGGATAATCTCGTTCACCTAGAATATGCAGATGATATAGTCCTCCCTGATAGGTGAAGGCGCTGACAAAATGCAGCAGTCTTCTGAACACCTTCACCTGAAATCTTCAAATGTTTGGCATATGATTCGCTGCGGTCAAAATGTAAGATGGTGTTGAAGGACTGGACTGAACTGGACTACATTGACTCCTAGCTTAGAAATAGAGAGTGAAGTGGTAGAGCGAGTTGACCACTTCACTTATTTGATGGGAAGTTGCATCAGCCAACACCAGTGGGTTGATCGCTGACGAAATCTCAACACAGATACACAAGGCTAGTTTCGTATATGCCAGTTTACGCCGTCTTTGGCGTAGACATAATATCCGGCTGGCTGTCTAATAATAATAATAATTAATATAGGTGGTTTCAGTTTCACATAATATCATTTATTATTATTCCCCTACGTTTCCAGTGTAACGTAGGGTAGCATCATGATAGCCGTTCCCTGATTTTGCTCGTGGTTATCGTTTGGATGACTAGAGTAGATTATTGACTCTCCAATTCATGATTTAGAGGTTCCACAGATTCCTAGCATTTCTATACCGTATCTTCTCATTTCTTTGGTAATCTTAGCAGCCTTCCCAGACAGCCTCTAACATTGTGCGGATATCTGATCTTCCTCAAGGTTTATCTTTATTTTCATCGAAAGAAGAAGACACATTGGCTGACTGGATTCCCGAAGGCATTTACTAGCCCTCTCAGATTCCACCGAAGTAAGTATGGCATGTGATTTGCGCCGTCTAACTGCAAAGTACTGTAACAAGATTGGCAGTAGCATGTACCTGCACTCACTCTTGCAGGTGAACCGCTTGAAATTGTTGATAAGTTTGTTTATCTGGGTAGTTGTGTGAGTGCTGGTGGAGAGGTGACGGATGAGATTTCCAACTGTGTCATGAAGGCTAGGGTGGCATACATCAACTTGAGCCACCTCTGGCGCCGTCACGACGTTAGCCTGGCTGTCAAAGGTCGGGTATACAATGCTTCGATTAGGGCTATCTTGCTCTAGGCCTGTGAAACCTGGCCTCTCCGAGCTGAGGATGTGCGGCGACTCTGCGTATTCGATCATTGCTGTCTCCGCAGGATTGCTTGCGTTCGATGGCATCATCGCATGAGTAATTCTGAGGTTCGGCGGCGTGTGTTTAAACACAGTTGTGATCACCATTCATTGAGTGTCGTCATCTGGAAACACCGGCTTCAGTGGCTTGTATATGTGCTGCGAATGTCATCCCAGAGGCTTCCGTACCGGTCTCTGTTCGCCAGCCCTCGGGCGGCATGGAAAAAGAGGAGAGGTGGTCAGCCCATGATGTGGCGTCGTGGGATGGAGGATATTTGTGCTAGATTAGCATCGGTTGGTGCGTCACGACTCCCTGGTTGGAGTCCGAGAGATAGCTCGAATCGATGGCTCGAAACATTATCGGATATGGTCAAGAATCGTAATCAGTGGCGAAAGTGCTGCAACTTCCTTCTTTCTTCCCTTCCTAGGACAGTTGACGAATACTGTTTGAACTTGTTAAGTATGACTTTTTTTCCTGATGAAGTTCTTTATCCGTTCTTCACCTGTACTTTTACTTTTAATCTATTTTGTTTCATAATTGTTGTGTGGCGCATATTCTTGGTGCCATATTGTACCAAGTTTTTCTGCATTAAATAAATAAAAAAATATAAAAGACCGAATAAAAGGTTAACTTTCGATATTTTGAAGTTTCCGTAGCAAATGGGTTGATTTTCTTGAGATAGGGTCGCTAGGCTGGGTCGGTCGGGGGGCGAACTGCAGACCACTTTCGGCGTGGTTGGCGAGTATTCTGCCATCGTACCATCAACGCATGATCAGAAATTTATTACTGCTATATTTATATCTGTATTTTATTCTACTCTTCTTTCCCAGATATTTGTCGCTTTTATCTATCGTAGAATTATGTCTCCAAAGTCAACAGCTTTCATTCATGTTGTTAAAAGACTGAGGTAAGTTTTCTCCCTCCTTCCTTCCTTCCTTCATATCCTGTTACGCTTTTAGTTCTTACTGGAGTAATGTTAAACTGGGACCGCCGGATGCCATTCTAGGCATTACAGAAGCCTATAATCGTGATACAAATCCGAAAAAAATCAACTTAGGCGCTGGTGCTTATCGAGATGATAATGGCAAGCCATTTGTTCTTCCATCTGTTAAAGAGGCGGAGAGAATCCTCCTGGGAAAAGATTTAAACAAAGAGTATGCACCAATCAGTGGGATAGCTCAGTTCTGTGACTTGTCTATTAAACTTGCCTTGACTGAACAGTCACCAAGAATTAAAGAGAAATGTGTAAGTTGATCGATTTTTTGTCTTATTGTGTTTTCTGGATTTTCACAGTGATAATATTGTTAAGCCTCATTGAGTCTAACTTGCGAAATATGCGAGGCAGTTGGTTGATGTCGAGATTAGTCACTAGTTGACATCAGTTAGGGAACTGCTGAGAACCAACAGGGAGTACAGGACAACCGTTTCGTCCTAATTTGGGACTCGTTAGCAACGCTTATCTATCACCCCTTGCATCGAGGATTGAGCCTAGGGGCTTCAGGTTGTGAGACGGACAGATCGACTTATTATTCAGCCATCCGGACGAGATCCGATGACCTATTAATTTCAACTTCTGTCAATTCAAAATATGTAGCACCACTACCAGTCAGTGTTTCGTCGTATCTGTCCTAACACCCCCGACTTGGTCACGAAATCTGAGTAAAAATCGCGGCAACTTCATCTTGTAATCACTCCCATTAGTTAGCAGCTTCTTCACCTCATTGAAATTTTAAGCGTATAAATGGGATTTTACTCATGTCAAACTATGAGCAAAGTACATTTATAAGATAACATGCAACAGACTCTGTGAAGCTTCGAATTTACCAACAACACACTGGAAGATCCGGTCTTTGCGGATAAAGGTATTGTTATTGTTGTTATTGTCTCCTTTAGTTCCTAGAGGAACATAGGGCTTCAGCCGAAAGTCTCCATTGCGTTCAGTTCTCTGCCAAAATCTTTATCTGGTTCCTCTTCTCATCAACGCCCCCCTCCTCCTCCATGTCACCCTCTCACTGACGAATAACTCGCTGCTTCCCATTTGGGTTCCACTCGAGCGATGACCTGGCGTGTGATGTCACTTGATGGTTTTCTCAAAGTATGGCCAATCCACCTCCATTTCTTCCTGCATATTTGTTGCACAATTGGTTCCTGCTGGGTTGGTTCGCTCCCGGATATCCCTGTTGCTGATCTTTTCTGGCTGGCCATCTGATCTTGAGTATTGAGAGAAGACAGCTAGCTGTTGATGAAGGTCTGTAGTTTGTTCGAAGTGACCTTCGTGACACGGCGCCAAGTCTCTGATCCATATAGTAGCACTAATTTCATATTGGAGTTGAAAATCCGGATCTTATTTCTCATGCTGAGTGCTGTTGATCTCCACATAGACTTGAGAGTAATGAAAACTTGCCATGCTTTCCCGATCCTCGCTTTGATATCCTCATCAGTTCCGCCTGTAGTTGGTAAAGGAGGTTGTTTCTTTCAGATTTCTCCCATTTATGCTGATTGTTGTCTGTTGTTGTTGCTGTTTCTGTTAGCCAGGAATCTTCATGACCACCTCTGTTTTCTCTATAATCACCGACGCTGCGCTATCAAAAGCCTTTTCAAAGTCGAGGAAGTTGAGATAGAGAGGTGACTGCCATTCCAAGCTCTGTTCAATGATGATCCGTAGTGTTGCGATTTGATCGATGCATGACTTGTTCCTCTTGAATCCAACCTGTTCCAGTCGAAGTTTCTCATCCAGGGCGGCGTTTTTGATTCTCTCCAGGATGATGCGGCTTAGTATTTTGCTTGGGATGGACAAGAGCATAATGCTGCGCCAATTCTTGCATTGATTTAAGTCTCCTTTGTTTGGCAGTTTTAATAAGTAGCCTTTCTTCCAATCCACAGTTACCTTGCCCTCTTTCCACACCTTTTCCAGTAGTGCTGTCATCGAGTCTGTTGATGTCTCGGGGTCCATTTTCAGTGCTTCTGCTGGGATTCCGTCTGGTCCTGCTGCTTTTCCAGTTTTTAGTATCTTGATTGCCTTCAGGATTCCTGTTTTCGTCAGAGGGTTGATGTCCACTGATAGTTCTGCTTCCGCTGTTGGTATTATTGGGCGCATTGTAGGTGGGGGTGGGTCAAAAATCAACAAATTGTCAGAAGAGACAGACAGTGAAAACAGTACTTTAAGTGAATATAAAGAAGCCAGAGGTGATGAAGGTATCTAACCAAGAGCAAAAGACACCATCACTCTCTACGGGAGAAATTAGAACAATATCACCACTTTCACTTATCTACATATGGCACGAATGAAGATATCAAAGCTAGCTAGGATCATAAAAGCATAACAGACAGGATTCGTTTTTTCAACATTATTGTCAAGTCAGTCAGTGTTTCTTTATGATCCAGAAACTTGGCTTATGCGTCACAAAACTGTATTTCCAATAGGCTGCTTGCAGAGTTTTACTAACAACCATCTTCTGTGGCTCAATAGTGAAGATCAGCTGGTCGGCCAGAAAGGGGGTAGACAACAAGAATCTCTGGTACATAACGATTCAACCAGGAATTTATTGTCCAACAACTACAGAGAAGGACTGACTGACTGACTGGTTTCAACGTAGAACTTTGCACCGATGTGCAGCAGTTCAAGTCGCCACACTTCACTTAGCACACAAAGCAAGAGAAGAAAGTAAAAAGAAATGCAAAATAGAGACAGTAAACAGAGATATGAGGCAAAAAGAATAGTAATATGGAAGAACCATATAGTTTTATTGGATAGTATAAGTCATAAGGAGTGGGTGCATCTGCTCCATCAATGAGAACGATTTTGAGCCATATCACCAGTTGTCTCCAGCCATTGGTTTTTACTGTCCCGAGGACCCCAAATCAGTCAGGAAGTCTACACCTCCCTACGTGGCTGGCTGGCTTAAACTAACTGTTGTGGATTTCATTGACTGATGAAGCCATGTTTTGGTTTGACCACTACTGGCTGTTCTGTAACCTGATCCATTCTATGTCAGCTAACATTGCCCATTGTCGAGGAGGGCGATGGATGGCTGGGCCAGGCATGCGTAACACATGTCCTAACCATCTCAGTCGATGCAGCTGCTTCACAACCACCTCGTCGATTGATTTCCCTCTTTACCTCGCCTACCACTTGACCGATGCCTCACCTCAATATTGCTCACCCTATTACACCTACCACTTAACACGCCAGGAGATAGAACGCAGACACCTATGATCAAAGATAGCTAGCTAGCTTTTTCATGTCTTCCACTTTCAATGGCCATGTCTCACTCACAGCCGGCCATAAAGGAGGACAGAGCGAACTGCCGGGCAGTGCAGTACACACATACTTTGGTCGACAGCCAGCTGGATATCACGTCTACTAAGCCAGAGATGGCATTAGTTGGCAGGCATATGTCAAATGAGCCTTCTGTATCGGTGTTGAGATTTCGTCAGCGATCAACCCACTGGTGTTGGCTGATGCAACTTCCCATATAAGTGAAGTGGTCAACTCGCTCTACCACTTCACTCCCTATTTCTAAGCTAGGATTCAATGTAGTCCAGTTCAGTCCAGTCCATCCTGTAACATCATCTTACATTTGGCGGGAGCGAATCGCATGCCAAACATTTGAAGATTGCAGCTGAAGGTGTTCAGAAGACTCTGCAACTTGTCAATGTCCTCACTGAGAAGGACTATATCAGCTGCATATTCTAAGTCAATGAAATTATTCCCTGGTAGCAAGTCAATCCCTGATTCGCTGAAGTTAGTTAGAGTTAAGTCCATTGGTACATCTATGATGAAATTGAATAGAAATAGGGACAGTGGGCATCCCTGACGGACACCTCTGGTCATCATCACTGCAGATTAAAACTCACCATAAGCTCTTACCTGGTTGCATAAGTTCGAGTAGAGTGCCTTGATCAGTTCAATCTATACAGAAGGAAATAGAGATGGACTGGACATACACTGAGGAGGTTGTTAAGTGACATCGCACACCAAGTCATCATTCCAATGGTACCCGAATGTGAAACGACGAATTAGGTGTTGTTCCAATGATGGCATACAGAAGATCGTCGGGGCACGGGGAATCAGAGCTTGTCATCAATCGTGGATCCAGCTTAAAAAAAAGTGTGTAAAGTAAAATTGTGATGTACTTCTAAAGCCCTATGTCCCACTGAGAATTGTAATGTTTCTCTCGTTTGTCTTCGTTTTTAATTTAATGTACAACTAATGCACGTAATTACAGTTTGTGTCTTTTTGTTTTATAAATTCTTCATTTAGACTGCCACTGTACAGACAATATCTGGAACAGGTGCTCTAAGAATTGGTGGATCTTTTGTGGTAAGTATTAATGCTTATTTCTCGTTTGTTTTAATGCAGGGGAATTATTTACTTTTTATAGAATGCGTTTGCTGAACAAAAGCACATATGGATGCCAACGCCTACATGGGGTAATCATAAACCAATTTTCATGTATGTTTAGCCAAGTTTTTTTATTTCTTTATTAGTTATAATATTGAGGATGAAATGATTTGGTTTTGAAGAAATTTTGATGTATGCCCGCGTGCGTGCGTATTAGCATTTATTATGCGACACTGTGATTTCCTAATGATTAATTGAAGGGCCATTATGGATAAGATTTTATTTTGATAAATCACACAGTGTGGTGTTATACAGCAATATTAACTGATGACGACGTTTCGAGCATTATTTATCACTGCTCATAATCATATCAAGTCACTACTCACACAACTTTCTTGCTTCATTTCTATACACGAGTGAAATTGATGATTAGACATTTGAATAAAATCAATCAGTATGAGATACTGTACATTCAGAAATAATAATATGACTGTTATCAAAGCAATACAATCAGATGGGAAATAAGACGAGTGATTTTATAGTCAAAATAAGTAACTTGTTAGAATGTTATGATGTACGTGAATTGAAATGAAATAGAATTTTAAGATTATTTATTATCCTCCTCTGATTTGACTGACTTGTGGCAATAATATCTTCCATATCACTGGCATTTGCATTGAGTCATTTCTGTTGTATGTGTTGTGTGTAGACTCGATGAACCAGGATTCAGTAATCAATCTCTCTCGCACTCCACCTACATAGATTACTTCTTAGAATCTTAACCCTCTCTCACCCACCCTTTTGTGTGATTGCGTGTTAATGCATGCAGTGCAATGTAGTGCTGAGTGTTTTTTCTAAATTAGTTATCTTCTCGGGGTCAACCATTCTTACCTTAGCTAAATTCTTATGTTCCGACAATCTGACTACCCCCCCCCCCCGATCTACTAGTTTGACCTATGCAGTTGACCTCACAGTTCCACTGAGAATGTAAATGAGTGAAGTGGTATAATAGGGTAAGCAATATTGAGGTTGGGCATCGGTCGAGTGGTAGGTAAAGATCGACAATGGGCAATGTTAGCTGACTAAAGTGGAATGGATCAAGTTGGAAAAGAGCCAGCTAGTGGTGGTCAAACCGAAACCTGGCTTCATCAGTCAATGAAATCCAATACAGCTAGTTTAAGCCAGCCGACCAGCCAGCTATGTAAGAAGGTGTAGACTTCCTGACTTGTTGGGGTCCTCGGGATGGTAAAAAGCAGTGAAAGTTGGAGACAATTGTTAATATGACTCAAAATTGTTCTCAGTGATGGCGTAGATGCATTCAATCTTTGTGACTTATAATATGCAATAAAATCTATATTGTCCTCACGTATTGCTACTATTCTTTTTCTGTCACGCTTCTGTTTATTATCTCTCACTGTTCTGAATCTCCCTTCACTCTTGCCTTTGTGTGGTATATGGAATGTGGCAACTCGAACTGCTACACATCTGTGCAAAGTCCTATCTTGAAACCAGTCAGTCAGTCAATCAGATGATCGTGATTGACTACTAACTACAGGACAAAGCTGCTCAGAGTTCTAGTGAGAAGTTGTAGCCAGTAGGCTCCATCAGGTCGGGCGTGAAGACAAATACTCCTCGATGACATATTGGCTGATGCGCCAGTCTTAGTAAGAGCACGAATTGTTAGAAGTTGGAATTCATGGGCTGGCGATTGGTTCGGGTTCCAGTGGCTAAATAGTATACGAGCTTGACTTGCAACTGGAAGGTCCTGGGTCCGAAAACTGATGGATGCATGTCGCTGAGGTGTGGTGCCGAACTAGGACGAAAGAGATGTTGAATACTAGCTGTTGGTTCTCATTGGTTCTCTAACTGGCATCAATCCTTGATCAAACTTGGAACAGATCAAATGCCTACAAACTGTGACTCTTAAGAGTAGAAAAAATGTCAATTGACTTGGAGGTTAAATATAATAATATAAAGCTTGAATAGATGATGTTTGCTTATAAGATGAAATCAGGTGTTTAAAAGACTGCATTATTTTTAGCATCTTCACCTACACGGATTATATCATTTGAAGGCTCCAAGTTGATCAGACTACTGTAATGGTTAGTTAGTCAGTACAGGCTAGTCCTTCCATACCGAATAGGAATGGTGATGCTCTCTCACAGCCTTCTTAGTTCGGCTGAACGATGGAACAAGGAGGCGGCTAAGTGAAGAGTCAACTAGAAGGATGAAAGGCTACATACTTGCTTCACGCTTAGGACACTAGGCGGAAACTTCTTCTTCCTCCTTAAGTTCAAGATACATGTCCATGTAGACATTTGTTTTCTGAGCTTCACGTTTTATAT